TGCTTGGGTACCTCTGTCCAACTCGTGTTTCTACTGTGAAGCTGTTGTTTACATGGCTGTGTTTCGGTTTGAAGGGTGGGATATGGCGTGTATTTACATGGTACAGAGGAATAACACCTGAGTCCTCAGGAATGGCAACGCATGGGGGGGTATCATGGGCGAAACAGTATACTCTGTTATGTCCATGATACTGCTCATGTCTATAGGCAACGGTTACCACTTTCCATCAGGTGTTCTGTCAGCTTGTTTACCATTTTAAGTTGTATAAAAAATACAATAAATAAGTACATAATAAAATAAAACAATTATCGATTACATTGCGTAACAGTTATTTTTAACGGCTTTGCAACCTATCACGACCCCCTTATAGAAGCTTGGGGACCCCAGGATCGCGGCCCAAACATTGGCCTAAACGATCGAGTTAATTCCAGCCTGTTATAAAGCATACCATCTATACAATGTTAGTCTTTGTAGTATCAAATACGCATGCATTTAATGTCCTATGACCAACAATGGCCGGTCGATATGTATTGTATATGGTATATAGATGTGAGAAGTGGAGCGACGCAGTTCACCCGGTCCAAAGGACGGGTATATATAGCGTGATTATCCGGTTAGGGTAACCAGGTATATGTTCAATCCACCGGATAGCTAAGGTTTGTCTCGCTTACCTGGTTTTTGTTTTTTTTTTCTTTACTAATAGACAAGGCGAGGTTATCATTCCATTTTTAAATATCTTACGTACATATTGGGGTAAGTAGAAACAGTAGAACGCCAAATGCTTCGATTCAGGGGGAAAGGGATTGGAGACTAAGAATCCCATTGCTAGCAATATACCCAGTCTACCTCCTCGCGGTTCTCCCTGGAAACTATCATGGTGAATTCCTTGTGAATTCGTCATGATGGGCTAACTGACCTGTCTTCATTCTCATCTATCACCCTTCACTAGTGCTCTGCCAGCGTATCCCGTTAGCGCAGGTGGGGTACTATTCAATTTTCACCCATAAAAAAAAACCTAACTGACTAACTGCATCACAGCCGTTTATGATTAAGGGTCACGAATTGATCGCAAAACTAGTCGAACTTTCTCGAGTTAAATCGGTAGCAATTACATTAAAATTACATTAACTTACTTTCCTAATTATACAATACTATTATGCTTCGATTCAAACAAACCTCTTTCGCTTCCCCCACATTCATCAATCTTTTCATACACGCTTGCCGGTTCCGGGTACTTTTAATTTGGCCCTTCCTCTTTATTTCTAACTATTCAATACATAGGAATATTTAGCTGCCGAGGTTCTCTCTACAGACTACAGTTTACAGAATTTACAAAAGTCTTTTGCTTGAGCACCTCTGTCCCATTCGTGTTTCAACCGAGAAGTAGTTTTTCTTTTTTTTATACAACTTAGAATGGCAAACAAGCTGACGGCCCACCTGATGGAAAGTGGTAACCGTCGCCTATAGACATGAACAGTACCATAGACATAACAGAGTATACTGTTTCGCTCATGATACCCCCCATGCGTTTCCATTCCTAAGGACTCAGGTCTTATTCCTCTGTACCCAGTAAATTCACGCATGTGTTTGCATGGTTGTTTACAGGGTGTTTCATGACTTTTGAAGCCCACGATATGGCAGTGAAATTACAGGGTACAGAGGTAATATCATCCCTTACTGGTGCCCCGCCAGCGTAGATCATCAGAACAGGCAGAGTTACTATTCCTTTATCATCCATCAAAAAAGTCTCAGGTGGGGACATCAGGTCAATCACCAAGGGAATTTACCCCCAAATTCCTGGTATCAATACCTTTAAATGGTTGGTGTCTTGAAAATTTTTTGTACAATAAATTCAGTACTCTTTACGCTAGAGGGCGTTACCTTAACACATGTAGTAACAATAAAAATACATGGCACTACACTCAACTACATTGGAAGACAGCTATAAAAAAGAAATAAAAAAAAATATATATATACATATATAAATAAGCATGCAAAGACTTCTCTCAAATTATGATATGATGCCATAAAGTGATCATTATTGTTATTTACCTGTGGTAATGCGCTATAAAAGATGTTATGGCTCTTTTATGGTCCGTGTATAGGATTAGGGATGGGATACGACTATCGGATATGGCTACAGAAGTCCGTCATTTATGCTGTAATGAGTTTACTAGTTGGCGTACCTGTACAGTTTACGTATCAAATTATAGTCGTAAAAAAACAAAAAAAAAATTGTTGTTTGTGTTCAACAAAAAAATCGAGTTCAATTGTTACAAAATCAGTTATATTGATTTAAAAACTAAACTCCTAAATTAATTTTGATACAATTTCTACAAAACCAATCTGTAAGTATATCCTTTCGGATAAAAAAAGTATTTTCCAAAATGGGTTTACAACTACTTCGTCAGTTGTAAACCCATTTTTATAGTTCAATATGTATAAAAAATTAAAAATAAACATATTAATTTATTCTGTAACCGAAATTTGGGCATCACTAGTAACGTTTACGTGGCTTGTTGATTTAGTAGGGCTTCTGTTAAGGTACGAAGCACCACTAGAGCGTTCTCTACCCACTAACAGCGGCATTAGGGCGAGTTCGGTCTGAAAATAATAGGCACGTCACTTGATATTTGACGGATTATGGGAAGCCGGTGTCAAATACGACAAAAGTGATCTCGGATGACAGTAAAGGTTTCTCAATTTCTTCGGACTTTTTAAGACTTTGTTTCATATTCAGTTGTTTTTTGTGCAATTCAAAATGGCAAACGATCTGATGATACCACTTGATGGAAAGTGGTAACCGTCGCCTATACACATGAACAGTACCATGGACATAACAGAGTATACTGTGTCGCTCATGATAGCCTTCATGCATTACTATTCCTGAAGACTAAGTTGTTATGCCTCTGTACTCTATGATTTCATTGCCATATCCTACTCTTCAATCCAAAACACAGTCATTAAACAGCTGCTTTATGATAGAAACATGAATGGGACAGGGGTACCCAATCAGACGACTTATGTACAAGGTGTGTATCTATATATCTATACATATAAATATATACATATATAACTAAAGTGTTTTATAATTGGCAGAGTTTTGTGACAGCAAACGCGAAAACAAAAAATACAATCGAATTGAAAACCCCTCCCTTTTCGAAGTCGGTAAAAAATAAACAATGCATAAACTATACGGATCTTGGCCATTTTAATGGCAAATACGCCAACCGTAAAATAACAACCCATGATATATCCCTGTGGGCGCGGGTCGTTTCCTAAGAGAGGAGAATATTACCATGTTATTTACCATAGCGGCCGAGCGGCCTAGTATTACGTATTGTTTGTAATAAACAAAACATTATATGAAGCTATAACGTAAAATACTATCATTATTATCATCATGTCAGCCTTTAACCATCCACTGGAATAACACCTGAGTCCTCAAGAATGGCAACGCATGGGCGAAACAGTATACTTTGTTATGTCCACGGTACTGCTCATGTCTATAGGCGACGGTTACCACTTTCCATCAGGTGGGCCGGCAGCTTGTTTGCCATTTTATGTTGTATAAAAAAAGTTAATGTCGAAATGCCCTATCACAGGTGCATGGACATCCTCGGCTATCATTTTATGGATGGTGTTATCACACTCCCACATTTTTTTCACCATGGAACCCCTTTATCTGAAAAGATATACTTACAGATTGGTCCAATGGAAGTTTTATTAAAATCGGTTTAGTAGTTTAGTTTTTATATCGAAATAACTTTATTGTGCCTCCCACCAAATTGTTTATAATTACTCCTCTCCATCCAAAGGTTGCCTGCAAGAGATCGCTCTTAGCGATAAGGCCGCCCATTGTTTTCTCACTGTGATCATTTCTTGTAATTGTTTGTATCTATAATATGTTTACTATTGTAATCTTTTGGAGGAAACAATAAAGAGTATCTATCTATCTATTTATCTATCTATAACTGGTTTCGCTACGATTGTAGCCTGTGTTTTTTTGTGGAAAAAATTTTTCAATTATATATTACGTGATTATAATACGTGAAGCAAAAACTTTGTACCTCTTTTTAAGAAAATTGCGCGGACGGAGGAGTATGAAATTTGACACACTTATAGTTTATATAGAGAAGGAGTGCAGAATGATAATGTTTTTTTTTTTTGTTTTTTTAAATTATACATAAAAATACATTAAATCAATAAAAAAAGAATTACATACACTACCATATATTTGACACACACATACGTATAATATACTCTTTTGTTTATTGTATGCATGTTAAAGTCTGTAGTCAAATTGAGAAAAGATTAAATTATTTATCTATAGTCTTGCTGAATGTCAAACACATTCTATATTAGTCTTTGACATAATAGAACTTTGATAATAATCAAAGACGACCCTCCACTAGATGGAGTGACGACCTGAAATGCATTGCAGGGAGTCAGTGGACGCGGGTGGCTCAGGACCGTTCTTTATGGCGGTCTATGGGGGAGGCTTATGTCCAGCAGTGAACGGATAAAGGCTGAAATGATGAATGTTAAAACTTACAATTTAAATTAATTATGGTCGAATTTCGACCACAAGGCGACCACAGTTATTTATTTAATTATATATATAAATTAGCAATGAGGAGGTCCTGCTTAGGGTTAAGGAAAAAAGACAAATTATTAGAACTATTGAGGACAGAAGGGGAAAAATGTTAGGACACTTGATACGATACGACGAACTTATGAACATTATAATAGAGGGTAAGATAGAAGGAAGGAGGGGAAGAGGGAGACCGAGGCATAGTTACATCAGGCAGATCAAGGAAGGAGTTGGTGTCGTGTCGTATCAAGAGGTGAAGGGACTCGCTAAAAATCGTAGTGAGTGGCAAGAGCTCAACCGACAAGAGCGCAGCTCTTAAATGGATAGATAGATAGTTATATTTAAACAGTCTAAAAGTACAGGTAAAACAAAGTTTACCGGTTCGATTAGTAAATTTATAACTTACCGAGTTTGTTGTTGTTGTGTTGATGCTGATGATGATGCTGTTGAGGCTGCGGCTGTTGGGGCAACTGCTGCATCAGGGCCGGATGCGGGAGCTGCAGTAGCTTGGCCGGTTCGAGCTTCGTAGCGGCTGCGACTGGTATGGGACCGGCGTTTGTCATTGTCGTCATGGTAGCGGCGGGCATCATTAGGGTCGACATTGTAAGCATTTTGCAGTATACCCCCCTTTTTATGTAATATATATATATGCCAATATATATATATATATATATATATATATATATATTTATTCTCTAATAATAACACTACACTAAAATCATGTTCTTGTCAAATTAAAACACCAAAAATACAATCAAACGATAATCACAATTTTGGCTTTTTGTTTATTGCGTTTTAAAAATTTCTATGGTCACATTCAATTGTTGTATAATATATTATATATATATGTGTATATATATATATATATATATATATATATATAATTTGTATTTTTGTTTATATATTACACTACAGTTTTATCATTTGGTGTTTTCACATTTCAGAATCACATAATTTTCCGATGTCTCACGGTTACTGGATCCACTGACATTGTTTTATTTTATTTTTTTTTCCTCTAAATACGTAATAATTAATATTTAATAATAATAATAATATTACATTTAATATCAATTTAAACTAATATATAAACGCGTCTGGAAATAAATGTAATTAATTTAGTTTAATAACTTTTAAATTTATTGTACGCAGAATTGTGGCCGTTTTAATTTACACGTCTACTTTTAATATTTTTCATTACAAAACGTGTGTATAATTTTTATAATATTATATTATATATTATGATTTAATTTGTTTGTTTATTTTTTTTATTTTGAATAAGAATTAGTAATTTTTTTATTTAATTACTTTTTATAACATTTATTTTTATTAATTAATTAAAATAGGAAGGTGGTGTTTTAGCACTCAGTGACGGGCGTTGAGAGAGGCCTATGTCCAGAAGTGGGCTTCAGTAGCTATATTTTTTTATTTGTGTAAAGGTTAAATGTGGGTGAAAAGACTATAAGATGATAAGGAAACATAGTGTCTTTAAGGAGGAACAAAAGAAGGAAGAAACAAAATATGACAATTAATACATTTCCCAAAATAATAAAACTTTATAATATACTTAAAAAAATATATCAAACAAATGCGTCGTATACAGTGATTTATTATTTAAGTTTATATATTAAATTTTATAATAAAAAATGTACATGTTTATTTATTTAATAATTTATTTATTTATTTTTTTTTTACAACACAGGGGGCAAACGAGCATGCGGCTCATGTATGTACCGCCGCCCATGATCACCCACAACACCTACGGCATTATCGGCCTTTTAAAAAGGAATATGCTCTTTTCTTGAAGGTTATGTTGTCGTATCGGTTTTTAGTTGATTAATGGGAGATAGTTGAAAAACGCACGGTGGAGGACCGCCACTCGTCCAGATGGTTGGGATGAAATTTTAGTTTATGGCGGGTTGTACGATGGTGAAAATCTGCAGCAGGTATCAATCCGAACAATTCTTCAGAGCACTCCCCATGATAAATTCGGTAGAAAATGCACAGAGATGCAACATTGTTCATATGTATGTATGTATGTATCATTCATTGTATATTGTTTTAATAATGTTGCTATAGGATTAGTAATAATTATATTTATACTAAACGGTTTAATTAAAATATATTAACTTTAGTTTCTCTTCTCAATTAAGAGTTTCCTCTTGTCGGTACAACTAATTCATGCATTCTCTCCAGCCAGCTCTATCCCAGGCCATATCTTCGACCTCCCTATACGACGTGACACCTAGTGTTTCCATTATCTGTCCCATGTAGTTATTCCTCGGTCTTCCCCTTCCTCTTTCGCCCTCTATTTTTCCTTCTACTATGCTCTTTAAAAAATCGTCATGTCGTACAAGATGGCCCAGCATTTTGCCTCTTCTATTCTCTATTGTTTTTATGAGTGTTCTTTTCTGATTCACCCTTTTTTTTTTTTATACTACTTAGAAATGCAAACAAGCTGGCGGTCCACCTGATGGAAAGTGGTAACCGTCGCCTATAGACATGAGCAGTACTATGAACATAACAGAGTATACTGTTTCGCCCATGATACACCCCATGCGTTGCCATTCCTGAGGACTCAGATGTTATTCCTCTGTACCCAGTAAATTCACGCCATATCCCACCCTTCAAACCGAAACACAGCCATGCAAACACAGCTGCTTTACGGTTGAAACACGAATGGGACAGAGGTACCCAAGCAATCGACTTTTGTACAAAGTCTCCCTCCTTTTCAAGACTTTAATATAAATATAATTTAATCAACTTTAGTATAAATATAACTTTATATTTTTGCGCCAATTACAAGGTCGGCGTCGTATAAAGAGAGACATGTTCTAGTTTTTTTTTTTTTTTAGGCGTCGCATATTATGAAATATCGTAGTCGGCTAATAAATGGGAGTCATTACAACAGTGCTGGTGGCGGGCATAGTGCCGGCTACGACTCGGAAATCCTCTTAGTACCCCCACCAGGGGGCGCTCTATTTATAGTGAAAAAGTGGCGAATGATACGTTTAGTTTTTGGAGTACGTTTAAAGGATAGAAAAAAAAATTTGGTTAGAAATGAACTCAAAGATGGGTTATATCTGAGTTGATTACACGTGTTTATAATACTAGTTATTTTTCGCGTCTTCGTCCGCGTGAATCAGTACATCAAGTATTCTATGTTGTAAATTGGAATATAACCTACTAGTGTACCAAATTTCATTCAAATCCGTTTAGTAGTTTTTAGGTGAAAGGGTAACAGACATGCATCCATCTATCGTTACATATTCCATATTCCCCTCTGCCCCATTCGTGTGACAAAAATATATATATATATATATATATATATATATATAACACGAATGGGGCAGAGGGAGACTTTGTACAAAAGTCTCCCTCTGCCCTTTTGCTTGGCCACCTCTGTACCATTTGTGTTTCAACCGTGAAGCAGTTGTGTCTGCATGGCTATGTTTCGGTTTCTTGAGTCCTCAGGAATGGCAACACATGGGGGGTATCATGAGCGAAACAGTATACCTTGTTATGTCCACGGTACTGCTCATGTCTATAGGCGACGGTTACCACTTTCCATCAGGTGGGCTGTCAGCTTGTTTGCCAAGCCTAACTACAGTTGCCAACCGGTCTGCCAAGCGTGGCAACTATTGACAAAACCTTCGTTATGGGAAAGGTCTATGTTCACCAGTGGACAGATAACAGCTGATATGTCTGTACATTGAACATATATAAGAAAAACTATTATATGTAGAAATTATGAACGCGTTTGGCGTTCCATTGTTTCTGCCTACCCTAATGGGAGACGGGCGTGACAGATATGTATGTATGTATGTATTTATGAACGCAATAGAACCCAAATCATTTATTTTTAGAATTTTGTCTGTTTGTCTCTACGTTTGTGCACGCTAATCTCAGAAACGGCTTAACTGATTTGAATGCGGTTTTCACTATTGCATTGCGGTTTGCTCCACTTAACATTTTGTGTTTGTTTTATTTCAATCGGTTCATAAATAAAAAAGTTATATCAATCTAAAGGATCACATATAAAATGCTATAAAATAACCGATCAGTTGTATTGGCTGAAACTTTATGAAGGTAGGTTATATATTATATTTGAACTCATAGGATATTTTATATATACAGACACGCGCGGGCAACGCCGCGGGAAACAGCTAGTTAATAAAAAAAACTGCTTAGTTTATAATTAGATGGCGCTCCGAAATAAGTCTATGGGTATTTATTAATTTGCGGAAACGAGATTTCAGATTGCAACAAGGGCTATTAGGGAACTGCAATTAAACATAATATGTTTTTACTTTTGGGGGGTAGGCAGAGAGGGATTTAGATGTAAGCTGTAATGTGAGAGAATGTACCCCTTTACATTAAACATGACAACCGGGACTGAGGGTATGGTTTGCAGAAAAGTTCATAATTTTTATAATACAAAAATGAATCGCTAAATCTCAAAAATTTGATAATTCATTTTTTAGAATATTTCTCGAAGTACAAACTGTGTGTTCTACCGCTTGTACAATGGATTGTGCTCAAAGGAATTGTTCAATATGATGCCCACAGCCACTTTCTACCATCGTACGGCTCGCATCGACAGGGAGTTCATCCTCATGTCCTACAGCCTCAATGGTCGCGTACTGCGCGGTTTCAGAGATGTTTCCTCCCACGAACACTCAGGTTGTGGAATGAGCTCCCTGCCGAGGTTTTCCCAACAGACTACAGCATGGGGTTCTTCAAAAGGGCGGTAAAGAGGTTTCTTCAGGGTCGGCAACGCACGCGTAATACCTCTGGTATTGCAGGTGTTCATACGTTACAGTGACCACTTACCATCAGGTGGACCGTATGCTTGTTTGCCACCTTAGTAGTTAAAAAAAAGGACGAGGATGGTTCTTACGGAGGGGAAAACTGTAAGGTATGAGAGTGAACTCCCTGTCGATGGCGAGCCGTACGATGATAGAAAATGGCCGCACTAGATCTGGTTTCGTTTATTTTACTATTTTTACACTTAATAATTATATTATGGATTGTTCTGCTGACGGTACATGAGAACGCTGCACTGTCTCCGCGGAACGCGTTCCGAGTGACGCATTAAAATCGTAACTCCAACTTGGTCCCCAATAATAATTAGAGAACTCGCCCCATTGACTTGAAAATAGAACGGAGAACTCGCCCCAAGTTTTTAAACCTTATTTGCCTACATTTGGGTGGGAAATTCAAATTGATTTTTCATTGAAAGTGATTCCCTTCAATTCTCTAGTTGATTTATATCCGTCCATTTTTTAGACCCTATTATAATAGATAGATAGACACTCTTTATTGTTTCCTCCATAAGATTACAATAGTAAACTTATTATAGATACAAACAATTACAAGAAATGATCACAGTGAGAAAACAATGGGCGGCCTTATCGCTAGGAGCGATCTCTTAATATAATAATAATATTATATTAACCTGCGACTTTGTCCACTTGTCTACGAACCGTCTCGTGTGTCTAAATAAAATATTATGTTTTTTTTTTCTTTTATGATCAGCTTCATCACCCTCATTTCAGCCATTATCCGTCCACTGCTGGACATAAGCCTCCCCCATAGACTGCCATAAACAACGGTCCTGAGCCACCTGCACCCGCTGATTCCCTGCAATACATTTGAGGTCGCCACTCCATCTAGTAGGGGGTCGTCCTACACTGCGCTTGCGTATACGAGGTCGCCACTCAATGACCTTTCTTCATTTCTTTCTATGTTCATGTTTAACAATAATAATAACTATATTAAAAGTTAAAAAAATACATCGAAACGAAAACTAATTGGCTCTATCGGAGCAAAACCGCAGGAAATAGTTTATTGATTGATAGCTTCATATTGCAGCTTCACCCGTATGAAGCAACACAAAGTTGTATGTATATGTATATAGGACTAAATATGATATAATTAGTTATGTATGAACTTAAGTTTGTCTAGTTATTCCTCGGTCTTCCCCATTCCTCTTTTGCCCTCTTACCCTTGCCCTTCTACTATGCTCTTAAAAAAATCGTCATGTCGTATACGACACCTTATAAGGTGGCCCAGCATTTTGCCCCTTCTATTAGAC